AGAATCTGTGGCCTTGAGGCCACATGTGGCCCTCTAGATCCTCAAGTGTGGACCCCCATAAATCCTCTTAAGGGGATTTATTCTGTGAAGTTTGGATTCAGCTAAAGGGACCCACTCAAAGACTTAGAAGGCCACATGTGGCCTCAAAGCCACACGTACCCCACCCCTGCAATAAGGGAAGATAACGACAACTTTCAGGCTGGGTGTTCTCCCAACGTATCTCAATCTTTGGAACTCACAGGTGGCCGTGCCAATTTTTCTTACTATGTTAACCTTGATACACAGAATGTTTCTCCTTCATAGATTCCCTTGTCTTGTCTTCCAGGCCTGAAGTCAGTATTTGCCACAACTAAAGATGTGATGCTAAAGACTTTTCACAAGATGACAGGGACCTCAGTGGCCAACTAACCCAACCCCTAACTGAACAAGGATTCTTTCTACAGTATTTTCCATAAGTGGTTATCCAAATGTGGAAGATAATTGTAAAGGAACACCAAGCAACTCTCAAGGAGTTCAAGTCACCAGGATGGGATGGACCATTCCAGTGAGGGTAGCCATAGATAGAGCACCGGGCTGGCTTGGAATCAGAAAGATCTGAGTTTAAATCTGACCTCAGACACTTACTAGCTATGTGACCCTAGGTAAGTCACTTAACCCTGTTTGCCTCAGTTTCCTCATCTGTAAAATGAACTGGAGAAGGAAATGCCAAAACACTCCAGTATCTTTGCCAAGAAAACCTCAAATGGAGTTACAAAGAATTGGACACTCCTGAAAGGATTCAGCAACAACAACAACATTTTAGGGACTGAAAAGATTTGAGGATGAGATTGATGAACTATTTTTGGTAATCCTTAGAAGATAAGGACAAAGACAGGGACTAAATCTGTAATTCCATTGACACGGAGAACACCCAGGAGAAAAAAACCTCCCTTTAACAATGCAGCTGACACATTGTCTTCAACTTATAGTCTAGAGAATGGCCTAGAGCCCTAAGAAGTTAAGAGGCCTGCCTAGAGTTCCTCAGCCAGCATGGACCAGAGGTAGGACTTGAACCCAGGTCTTCAGGGCTGGCTCCAAGGCCAGCTCTCTATCTGTTAGACCACCCTGCTTCATTGACCTCTGAAAAATCAGAAGGAAAAGGAAATGAGTTGTAGGACCTGAGACAATCAAATGTCTCCCAAATTAAAAAAAAAAAAAGATGGCTTCTTTACAGTTTAGGATGGTGAACTTGATTTTGATTCTCGGCAAAATTTTTAATGGAGAATTCAAATGGATGGTGTAAGATCTCCAGAAGGCAAAGGCATCATTTATCTATTTCTAACATAACAAGAAAGGACTGAAAGCCTCAGAAACATCCACAGTATGGTGGATAAGGGCAACAATGATGCTGTCAAGATGTGGGGTTGTATTATTTGGGGTTTTCAATTAATTAAACATCTTTATTCTAGATAGCCTCGGTTAAAATCCTACTCTGTTGTCTCATCAGGGTCTGCCAATGACCTTGGATTCCAGAAGGCTGAAGGACATGTTTGAGCTCCGGACCTCGCCGAACCAGAAAGGTCTGAAGCACAATCTGATGACAGAATATATGTATGTCGCCCCAGGACCACTGAGAGGTGCTCACTCTCAGATTAGCCACCAGATTATTCATTCTCTTCAAACACAGCAATTCATGAAGACCATTTACTTAGGCTCAGAGGGGTTGCTATCTCCATTGGTAGAAAGAATACCCATGGTGATGAAATAATGGCCCCTTCAAATATTGAAATAAGGCATTTTGTTGTACTCTGTTGTGGACTAAAATATTGGTAGAATTAGGGAGAATGATCCCATAACACCAGCCAGGACTGTTGTAAGAAAGGAAGTTGTATAGACTTGAGGCAAGTTAAGCTGACTTTGCCACAAGGTGGATTGTTCTGGGACTCAGTTGTGGGCCCCTTGGGCAGGAGGAGTACAGAAGTAGTTTTTAGGACCTCAGTGGGGGAACTCCTCAGATCTCCCAGAACCTTTTTGCTCTCTGATGGTCACCTTCTTGCTGCAGCTTTTATCTTCTTGAATGGTTTTTAACTGCTGCCTTGGGAACTGCGTCCGTTTTGGGGTACTGTAATGTATTTTTGGCACAAAGGTCATTTCTTTGAACCCTCAGGCCCTGAGGGATCCATTACACTTAAAGTGGGCTCTGATTGGGACATGATGGACAGAGAGCCTGTCTGGGTGTCAGGTTGACCTAGGCCCATGTCCTGCTCTGACACACCCTGTATGACCTTGGCAAATAGGTGCCATAGGCATCTCCCTGAGACTTTTAACTTGCACAAAAGTTGCTGATCTGTATTAATAGGAGGAGGAAGGGGTAGAATCTTTACATGAATGAAATCCATAACAACAGCAAAAAAAAATAGTATTAAAATAGAGGAGGGAGCCTTAAATAGAGGAGGGGGAGATCATGGACTCTTTAGCAGTCTTTGATGAACCCTATGGACCACCCCTATCCCCTGAAAATGTTTTTAAATGCATAAAATACACAGAATGGAAACTGACTATTGAAGTCATCAAAATATTTTTAAAAATAGGTTCCTGGATCCCAGCTTAATCCCAAGTTCACGAATCCCAAGTTCACAAAATCCTTGCACTAGAGAGAGGTCTATTGTTCAGGACAACGGGGGGAGATATCAGCTACTTTACTTTTTAAAGCTACCACCTGGGCCCCTCCACATGCCTCACTATAAATTGGACTTGTCAACTCCTGCAGATACAACTTGAGGGCAGTGACCACTCCCAAGATAAGCAGACTTACTTCCCTTGTTTTTTTTCCCCCTGAGCAGCCACATCCGCTGTCAGGTTTTCTGGATTGTTGGGGGTGGAGTGGGGGGTTGGGGTAAAAGAAAATATATGATGGCTGATAAGTGCTCACTGGAACAATGTTTACAAGAACCTCTCTCTGCCTCCATCCTTCTTTTCTCCTTTCTCCAAGGAAAAATTCCTCTAAGAATAAGTTGTTCTATTTCTCAATGTTTTCTGCCCCTTCACTCTAAGGAAGTAGATGGACTGGCCTTTCAAGGGATACTTCCTTTGCCTCCTTTAAGTCCTGGCAGACCCAGGAATCACTCTATCTGTCAAGATCTCCAGTTGCAAGCACAGGAGAAAAGAAGGCTGAGCCAAACACAACGAAGAAGAAAAAACTTTCTAAGGCAACTATTTATCTAAAATTACATTGCGGTAGCTTAGTTTAACTACCCACTCAGACATTCCATGGCTAGGAATCAGATAAGAGCACCATGGGGGGAAAGAACAAGTTCTCTGTCTTGGATCTTAAAAGATCAAATGATAAATAAATCTTAAGAAGGATACATTATAAATAGCTCACTGCCTTCCCACGTAGCTGATCCTGGTTGGTTATTGATCAAGCTTTTGGTTGGTATGATACAATCTCAGAGAAGGATAAAGCTACAGTCTTGAGTTGTCAAGTATTTACTTGGGCATTAGTGTAGATATGAATACAATCCCAAGGCTTGCCACAATGTCTAGGTTAATAAAATGAAAGTCTTCTGCCAAGACTGAAAATGGGGGTGGGGGTTGGGGAAAATAAATGCTGTGGGAGCTCTTGTTTGCTCCATTACAGAGGAAAGAGAAAGTGAAAGGAGGAGAATTGGAGTAATGTATATTTAAGCAGCTGACTTGTTGGAAAGCTGCCCCGAACCATAGCAACACTTAGACATGGAAAACACCAACCAAGGGGCAGTGGTTGTCAGTAAACCATTAGTGATTGGAGTCGAAATCATCTTGGACTAGGCTGGTAATCTAAATGAATGAAAAACCAGGAACTTAAAACCAAGAAGCTTCATGTTCTTGGCTAGAGACTGCAGTTTTTGAAGCAAGTCTTTGTGGGGAGGTATAGAAAGCTTCCATGTGGCCTGGTAAGATTCTTCCAAACAACAATTAATTTATGTTCCATGGAGAGTTTCCATAACTCTACAATTAAAATGAAACAATGAAAGGATACTTTACTGTTTCATCTTTCATAATTCCCCTTTGCTCTGTTATTGTTTTTAAAAATATTTGTAGGGATAGCTTTTGTTTTTATATCATTTTAGAAAATACCCATACCACCTCTTCTCAGAGAGTCACTCCTTGTAACAAAGGGGAATAAAAAGAGAGAGGGATGAGGGAGAGAAAGACATAGAGAAAGAAGCTGTTCAGCAAGACAAATCAACCTACCTACTCAATCTGACAGCATAGATAATGTTTCCCCCTCCTCTGAAAAGAAGGGCAGGAGGTCTTGCTTTGTTCTTCAAAGCATCATAGATATTGAGTTGGAAGGGAATTTTGAGGCCAGGTAGTCTGACCCCCTAATTTTACAGATGAGGAAACTAAGGCTCATAGAGGTTAGGTAACTTGCCTAGGGTTACACAACCAATAAGTTGTGCGAGAGTCCGAGGTAGGATTCAAACTCAGGTCTTGCTGTCTCCAAGTCCAGAGTTCTATTTACTATGTCACCTGGTTGCCTAAGCCAAATTATACAACCTGTTTTAGAAAATCTTGAAACAAGGACAAACAATTTTTACTTAAAAGAAGTGCTAACCCACCCCTCCCCACCCCCCAAACAGCTTGGCTAAACTCTGAGGGGGCTTGTGAGGTCAATAGAAATTCTGAAGGATTGCATGCTTGCCCATACTAAAGAAACTGTCCCCATTTCTGTCACATCTACTTTATTGAGATTTTGAGGGGAAAGGAGGCTGAATCATTTTGATTAAGCTGATAGGTTTTACGCTTAATGTAACTATTTAAATCTCCCTTGCATCTCTGATGCTGTCTCTTGACAGGAAAGGGAGTATTTGTTTTGTCTGACTAAATTCACAGGAAAGCCATGCAGGAATCAAACACAAGGAGCCCCTGTGACTATATTTGAGTTTGACCTTGGCTTTTATGAAAGAGTTGCTGAAGCCTGATACATTTTCCAGAGAAGGGAGGGATGAAATGAATTCTCCTGTGGAAAGACTTACCTGGGTAATCATTCTTGTCTACGTCTGAATCGCCTCTCAAAGTAAAGCCAAATCCCGACGGTATGGCCTGGGAGGCCCAGCCACCATTCAGAATCTGGGATGGTTTCTGGTTTAATCCTTCTGCATTCCCATTGTAAATGAACACTTTGCCTCTTCCATCTTCTCCGGCAAATGGTGCACCAACTGCAATATCTACAAGACATAAATATTTATTTCTTAAAAGGTGACCATTTGAAATCAGAATTTATAAGATCATGATATCACAAATTTACAGCTGAAAAAGGCTTTGTAGGTCAGCTAGGCCAATCTCCCCCTCATTTTATTGTTGAGAAAAATGGGATCTAGAGAGGTTAAGAGGCTTTCTGGGCTGATAAAGCTAAAGTTCAGGAGCCCCCTAGTTCAACCTTCTTGGCTTAGAGAGGAGGAAACTGAAACCTAAGGGAGATTTGTCCAAGGTCAAACAACTAGTAAGTATCAGAGGCAGGATTTGAACCCAGATCATCTGACTTCAGAGCTAGGGCTCTTCCCATCCCATGCACCACCTCCTCTCGTAGTAAGGGGTAGGACCAGAATTTTAACACAGGTTTTTGACTCCAAGTCCAGGAGTCTTCCCATTACTACAACATGTTCCTATTGCACTAAGGTCATGGATTCATTGGACCCATCTGGAATCCCATTCTATCCTGATATTTCCATATGATATGCATAACCTGAAACAAAAGTTTTAGATGTAAATGAAAATAACCTCAATAAATGTCTTACATGTATATGGTATCTTCCAACTTTTAGTGTTTTTACATAGTAAAGTGCTTTGTGAATCTGAATTTTTTTTGAGGGCTGGAAGTGACAGAAATTTGTTATTTCATAAACACAGGGGACTCTGGGTAACCAATCAGCAATGCCAGTGGGACACCAGATCTTTAGTTTATCATTTCAGATAGTTGCCTGGGAGACAGCGGTTTTATAGGGCTTAGAGCACTGCACTTGACTCAGGAATAATGAGATTTAAATCCTACCCATAGACATTTCCTACCTATGCTACTAGGGTAATCATTTCACTAATCTGTGCCTCAGTTTCCTCATCTGTAAAATGGTCAGGGTAGGATAGGCATGGATCTGAAAGCTTTCGGGGTCCCTTTCATCTCTAAATTCATGTTCCTCTGATTTGTCTGCCCATAGTGACAGTTTGTATTTTTCAGATTCAGAATTGAAATCCAAGGTCTTCCAAACTACAAGGCCAACTCTCTATTATTTCCTATTCCTCTATTTTCTCAAGGCCAAAGCATTATACAAATGAAAGCTATTATAATTATGACTGTCATCTCATCTGATACTCATAACAACTCTGTGAAGTCATCAAGACAGACAGGTAGTATTATTATTTCCACTTAAGAAATGAAGAAATTAGGATTTTGAGGGATTATATGGCTTGCCCACAGTCACACAGTTGGTATTAGAATCCAGATCTTGTGACTCTCCTAGTCCAATGTTCTTTTTATAAGTACTGTAAAAAGCAGATGACCTTCCAAATTTTTTTTATTAATTTAGGCATTTGTTGAATTATAACTTCAGTTGTTGGGTTGTTTCAGTTGTGTCTGATTCTTTGTGATCCTATCTGGGGTTTTCTTGGCAAAGATACTGGAGTGGTTTGCCATTTCCTTCTCCAGCTCATTTTACAGATGAGGAAACTGAGGTAAACAGGGTTAAGTGACTTGCCCAGGATCACACAGTTAGTAAGTGTCTCAGGCCAGATTTGAATTCAGGTCTTCCTGATTCCAGATTGGGGACTCTATCCACTGTAACACCTGGCTGCCATACTGAACTGCAAAATTTATTTTAATAGAAAAAAACTCTAGGAAAAGTAATATAATGACACATTACAGTCAACATGAGTATATAATTTGTTTGTCCCACATTCTTTGTCACAACTTTGATAAGACTAAATAAATACATTTTAATTATTAACAATTCTAAGTCTCAATCCAGCTCTGCTGTCCCATCTATTATGCCTTCTAGAGTACCATCCCACCATTAACCTACTTGTTTTACCTTATCCTTCTTCCTTTCTCGCTCCTTTCACTTCTGGCACATGTTGAAACCTGGCTGACCCCCAAAGACAATGAATCACTTGCCATCATCTCAATCAGTGGATATGCCTTCACTGATGCCCCCTTGATACACTGGTCGCAGAAAACTAGGCATATTCCTTTCTCCCCATTGCTATTTCCACCTCTGTTCTACCCCCTCTGCTGCAAACACTCAGCAATCTCTCCACCATTAATGTTCACTATCTTTAGACATATTTTCCTATTCAGATCCTCATAGTAAGTGTTCACTGACTACTAGCAGATCTTCACTTCTTTCTCAAGCTTAGTCACTTACTTAGAGACTTCCTCTCCATCCTAACCTCAGCCCCAGAGGACTTCAGCATACATGCTGATGTTGAATACCCTGGCTTCCCAGTATCAGCTTTCATGTCCTACACCTTCATCTCACATCAGCCATATTTAGGGACTATTATCTCCTTATCTCTCCATCAGCCACAAGCACCCTACCTTCATGCTCAAGAACTGAGAAACTCCTCTATCCAACCATAATTACATAACCTTCCATCCCTCCCTGCATCTCACTCGTCTTGAACTCATTCTTCATTGCCAGCATGACCTCTAGCCCCAGTGCCTGCGGCTCTCCTAGTCCCTCACCACTGCTCTGGCTTTACTTTCTTCACATGCCAATGTTGATCTTACGTTATATTTAAAGAGTTCAACCTGACTCCCCTGTCTCCTTGTCCTGTTGATGATTACGCCTTGTCACGCTCCAACCCTTAAATACCCCCATCTCTGCCTCTTCTGCTGCTATTCACAGGTTCCTCAACAGTACTGGAGAAAGGCACACAATCATTCTTACTGATCCACTACAAATTTGTGTTATCTAAGCTCAACTGGATCCTTCTGCACATTAGTCGACTTACTCTTCCCTAATTAAACTGTACCGAATTCCCCACGATGGTTGTGACAAATCTTCTCACAAGCTCTTTTTGAACTAACCCTAACTCTAATTCACCATCCTTCTCAGCAAAGATGCTAATCTCATACTCTACCAAACAAAGAGGTCATTTACTATAAGCTCCTTTTTGCCCTCTACTGTACCTCTAAAAACCCACTGACACCATCTCCTAACTTCCTTTACTTCAGGCTCTGTTTAAGAGGTGACTTTCTAAGCAAGATCAGCCCATTTACTTGTACCTTAGACCTCATCCCCTTAGAGCAAGAAAGGAAGAAGGATAAGGTAAAAGGAAGTAGATTAGTGGTGGGATGGTACTGCAGAAGGCATAATAGAGGGGACATAATAGAGTCTCCTCTGACAGAGTCCCCATGATCATTCTCTACTCCCTATTTTTAGTTTCTCTATTGGATTCTTCCCTGTGGTCTATATTGACCATCCACTCAAACTATATGTTCAATGTCTGTCCTCTTTTTCACAGCTAAACTACTACCAAGTTTCCAGTCACCCAGGCTTATAACTGTCCAATTCGTGTACAAGTCAAGACATCACCCCTGATGACATTGGTCCTCTTCCAAAAAGAAGGATGAACAACAACAAAAAATGAATCAACTTTTACTCTTCATATTCTTTCACCCACCCACATACCCATCAGTAGTGAAGATTTGTTTATTCTTCTGCTAAAACAGTTCTTAAATCTCTCTCCTTCTCTCTCCTTACAGAGCTAACCACTGTACTCCAGGCCTTTATCATCTCTTGGACTGCAGCAATAACTTCCTAAACTAGTCTTCCTGCCTCCCTTTTCTAACCAACCCTCCATCCACATGACCAAGTGGTATTGGTCCAGACCAGGATCATGTCCCTCCTCTGCACAAGAAGCTATCTCTTGCCTTTGGACAAGATATAAAGCCTCTGAGTGACATTTAGAGCCCTGCATAATCCCACCTTTTTAGGCAAATGGACTATTACTCCCCTTTGTGTACACAACTACATTTCAGCAAAAAGGGACTACCTGCTGTTTCTCAGAAGAGATGTTTCATCTTCCATCTTCACTGTATTTGTAGAGACTTTCACTCATATCTGGAATGCTTTCTCTCCTCATCTCTACCTCATAGAATCCTAAGCTCCCTTTCAAGTTTACCTCAAGCACCATCTTCTAGATGATGCCTTTCCTGATCCTTTCAGCTCATGGTGCATTCCATACCATGCTAAAGTTACCTTGCATTTAATTATATTTTGTATTAATTTCTATGGGTACATGTCGATTCTTCCTCTCCCAAATGCTAATGCCTTGATAGAAGATTGAATTAATAAATGAATGAAACAACATTTATTTAATGCTTACTATGTGTCAAATGCTGAGGATACAAAAAGAAAAAGCAAGATAGTCCCTGCTCTCCAGGATCTTATGCTGTAATTAATGGAGCCAACATATGAAAGAAACTTCAGGTGCAGAGCAAATGAAGAGATATGGCAGTGTAAGATTGTGGTGGCCAGGTGAATAGCAGGGTCCTTAGGTCATATTAATGGATCAGATGATAGTGATGGGGATCTGGAAGTGAGAAATGTGATGGCCTGGAGGACCTTTGGAAACAGTGGCAGGGCAAATGGCAGGGTCTGTGGGTTTCCACATCACTGAAAGTGATAAAATTGGTGACTCCCATTTCATTCAAGTTGTGTGAACAATCAAGCAGCTCCAGTGGGTTCAGAGTAGCTAGGAGCAAGTGAAGAGGAAGGATTTATGCCCCATGGTATCCCAATTTCCACACCTCTCTGCTATCCCAGATGAGTTCTGGATGACCCTAGGCCAGGAGAGAGGATAAAGGCAAAAGAGTGCCCTGGTGATGTTGTCTTCCCTCTTCCCAGGGATCCCAGGTAGGTTGTAAGTTCACTAAAGGTGAGGACTGGGTCCCTTCTGTCTTTGTAACTGACTTCTAACATTGTGCCCTGCACATAGGAAGTGCTTGGTAAATGTTTGTTGAATTATTGATTTGATTTCAACTCCATTTTCTTAGGCTTTTTTTATTTCCTCTGCCACATATTCAATTACCTGCAATGCTCTCAAAAGATCAGCTCCTAATAGATAGTAAGTATACAGTTGCTGAAGCTCACTTTAAAGCTCATAAAAGAAGACTAAAAAATGATCTGGAAGAATCATTTAAGACTAGTTTACTGAGTATCAATAGAAAAGAACTGTCCTTTGTAACAAATTAATAAACCGCTTCTATCATCTTCCAAGTATTTTATTAAGGACTTGGGTAAGGAAATAAATAAATAATAAAAGACAATTCCCCAAGGGGGTGTAGAACTATAATTCACTTAAGAGAGTCTTTGGAAGCCATAAATCAAGAGGAAAAAAAGTAGTATTGAAAGCCACAAGTCACAAATCAGTATAAAATTGAATTTCCCCCCAAGGGCCATGTGCTGTATAACTGCAGAGTTTTTTTTAAGTAGGCCTCAATGACTAAAACATCAAGGAAAGAGAACAAAACCCATTGACTAAGTAATTACTGTGTAGCAACCTGGCTACTTAGGGGTCAGGGCATCACTGAATGTTGTAGATGGCATTATTTGACATCTTCTTGGCATCTTTTCTCCTTAGATCTCTGAACTGAGGTCTTAACAGAATTCCACAGGCAAAAAGAAACCTGTCACAGTCACACAGTTAATTGCTTATTTAAATTGAGTTTTTCAGATCAATCATATTTAACAGTTAATTCAGAAGGGATGGTTTCTGCCAATTGTTTTTTTTTCCCATTCTGATAGTTAGGTGGATTAATCCCAGAGAGATAATCTTATCAATAAAATATCACTTGCTTATTTGCTTTAAGTCAGGCAGAAACAGGATATCGTTTGGCTAGATTCTTTGATCCTTTGCAAGTCACTATCTGGAGGGCAATATGCTGTCATAGAAAGAGGAGTGAACTTGGACTTAGAAGACCTGGGTTCCAGCCCCATCTTTGCCTAATAATGATAGTAACAATAATAGTTATTATTATTATTGTAACATAGCATTTATATAGTGCCCTAAGTTTTGCTAAGCACTTCACAAATATTTTGTTTGGTTCTCATGACAACCCTGAGAGGTGGGTGCTCATTTTACAGAGAAGGAAACAGAGGCAGACAGCAGTTAAGTTACTTCCCCAAGGTCACCCAGCTACAAAATGTATGGTATTGAACTTGAACTCAGATCTTCCTGATTCCACTCACCCAGTGCTCTAACCATTGAATTACTGAATTGATTTTAACACCATTTTCTTAGGCTTTACCATCTGTGTAACCTTGAATAAGTCATTTAATTTCCATGGTGACTTATCTATAAAATATGATTAAAAATGTTACTTACCTCACAAGATTATTTTGAGTATCAAACTAGATAATGCATATAAAGTATTTTGTAAACCTTTTAATCAAGAGAGAAGTGAAAGCTATTATTTTTTTAAAAAAGTGAAATATCTCAATGACTCAGTGCCATTGTTTCTTGTCTATGATATGTAGTTTCTGAATGAGCTTCAGAAACCTTTCTCATGCCACATGTAACACACATGTGCTACACAACTGTAGTGTCCTGATATGTCACCTCCCCATGTCCTGAAAGTGATCTAGGTTCTTGCCCTCTCCTTCCATGGCCTTCTATTTTGGAGGCAGGGATCTTCTAAGGAAGCTTAAAGTGCTTCAAATGGAGACTCAGTAAAATGCTGGAGAGTTGTTACAGGAAGAACCTTAGCTTCGCTAAGTTGGAAAGGTTCATCGCTATGTAATGAATTTTTCTGCCTCAGCAACTGATGGAACCTGGAATGGTGGCTATTTTCATTGGTGGAGGGAGCCTACACACCATGACCTTCCTACCTTCCTAGTCTTCTCATGTTTTACTCCCCTCCATGCAATCTACATTGTAGCTACACTGGTCAATTCACTGTAGCTCCTGTACAAGACTCCATCTTCTACCTCCATGATGCTGTGATGATAGATATCCCCCTTGCTTGGAATGTTCTCCCTCCTCCACTTTATTCTGTCTTAGTTGCCCTAAATTCTTTCAATACTTAACTCAAATGCCACTTCTGTAGGAGGCCTTTGTCCACCAAGCTGCTAGTGCCCTCCTTTCCAAAATTACCTCCTATTTCCTCTTGTCTGTACTTATTTTCATGTTTTCTCCTACATTAGAGTGTGAGCTCTTTGAGATCAAGGATTGTTTTTCTCCTTCTTTATAGCCACAGTGCTTAGTTTAGTGGCCGACATATTTTAAGCATTTAATAAATGATTATTGATTGACTGATTGAAATCACAGAACTTTTAAATTATCCTCAACACAGCACGTAAAATACAGATTTGGGTTTTCTTACATAAAGTCCCAAACAATCACCTTGAAACTACCCACATTTTAATGTCTCTGCCTCATGTACACCAAAAAGACTGGTATGAAATGGCATTCTTTCCCTACACCCAACAGTGACATGAAAATTGTAATAATTTTGAACTTTTGTGAGATTAAACTAAACTCACCATTGTATCCATCTTGGTTCAGATCTCCCAAATGGGTGACAGCACTTCCAAATCTGCCAAACACTTCAGTTCCTGAGAAGACTTGGGCATGGCTGAAGAGCAAAGGACTTTCTTGCAAGTAAAGGTAAACCTGCCCTACTTCTTTAGGGCTGCTCTCAAATTCACGGTCCATGAAGAGGGGGGCTCCAACCAATACATCATCCAGGCTGAAAGAGAAAGAAGGGGGAGAGGGATAGAGGGAAAGAGGAAGAGGGAGGGGGGAGAGAAAGAAGAAAAGGGAGAGGAAGGAGAGAGGGAGGAGAGGGAGAAAGGAGAGGAAGAGGAATAAAAAGAGGGAGAGGGGAAGGGGGGAAAGAGAGAAGGAGAGGGAGAAAAAAGGGAGGGAGAGAGGCAGGTAGACACAGGGGAAACGGGGAAGCAGAGGCGGTGAGAGAGATCAGGAGAATCAGTATTCCTACAGGCCTGAAATATTTTTAAAAAGTCAGAAGCATCACTCGTATTCATCATTCTCTTAAAAATGTTTTGCAAGTATTATATATCCTGTATAACTTTCTTGCACCTCAGTAGTAATATACTGCCAAAAAATGGGCTATTATAAAATCACATCAATTATTTTATGGCTTTAAAATCTCCTAATGGGGAAAGTCATGTTCCTATCTAAATACCCCCTCAATTTTTAAATGATTTTGCAAAAAAAGTATATTTTACTTATTAAGAAAAAAAAAATTTCAGTTCACTAGCTGCTAATTTAAAAAAAAAATAAGGGGCAGTTAGGTGGCACAGTGGATAGAGCACCGGCCCTGGAGTCAGGAAGACCTGAGTTCAAATCTGGCTTCAGACACATAACACTTACTAGTTGTGTGACTCTAGGCAAGTCATTTAACCCCAATTGCCTCATGCAAAAAAAAATTAAATTAAATTGAAAAAATTAAAAAATTGAAAAATAATATGCCATACAGCACTCCAGAATAGCATTTTGAAGATATTTCAGAAGAGAATAAAGAATAAAGACACTTATCAGGAAATATCATTTAAAATATGGTTCGGTTAATGATAGTAATATTAAAAGTACTTTACTTGTGGGACATGTCTGAAGTTTGGATAGCATACAAGGGTCCATAGAAGTTACTATAGTGTTAAGTTTCACAAAATCAGGACTAGAGTGTACTTGTGTCCAATATACTGGATGCTTTCTCTCATTGCCAATGACTTTCCAATTGTTCAGTATCATTTTCTAGTGTACCTTTGTGGTGATCATCCCAAAGACATTTTTGCTCAATTACAGTTTGATCTTCCATCCCCATCGATGTATAAATCTTCTCTTACTCCCTAGTGCTAAAAAGGCCCACATTCATTCAGGATTAAATCCTGCATCTCTTAGAAATATGACAAATGTCAAAAGAACAAGTAAAAACTTTGTGTTAAATAAACTCTGTACATGAACGACATGGGTATAAAGCCTATACAGCCGCTCTTCCACATTCTATGTGTAGCTAATTGCACAAACTCTTCTGCTATTTATTAGCTGCATGGCCTTGGGCTAATCACTTCACTTTGCTAGGCCTTCATTTAACTAGATGACATCTAGTGGTCTTTTCACCTCTCATTTTTATTGTTCTACACCCATATATTTAATAATATTCTATTAAAAAAAACCACTATTCATCTAACCAAACAAAACTCAGAAAAATTATACTACAATTCTTCTTCACATGCTAATAATAGAATATCTGATTTAGCTTTCCATATCTTTTCTACCAATCTTTCTCTGACTAAATCCACTTTACTGTGATCATTCATTATTTTTATCTAGCACCAAGGCACAGTTTTTGTATCACATATGTATCTCATTAACTTGCTCTCACGTTGTAATTAGGTGTTTCATGCATAAACTGGGCTCCAAAATTGGGCTTGAACTTTCTCTTTGACAACAGCTGTGTGTTCTACTTCTTCTCTATTATCTAGTGCCCCCAATTCACACTAGGCTCATAGCTGGTGTGCAAAGGTTGTTGGTTGCATGAATAAATGAAGCAATGCATAACAGAGTATTTGTTTACAAGGGTTAAAGCAGGATCCAATCAATTACTCTAATTGCATTATGAAATAATGAAGTTAAATTTAATTATTGGAAGATTGCATTTCAGAAACCAGCCAGCTATTTTATTGATCTCTCTGTGTGAGATATACATATATATACATACATAATACATCTATGTAGATGTAGGTAAGCAGATATTGGTGGATAAATGTAGATGAAGACATTTGCCGTGTTTTTCTTTTAATTTGAATCTTTTTTAAGTCTGACTACCAGAACTTGAGCCAGGATGGGGTCCTCAGGGTAAGTCAACAAATAGATTTATTTATACTGAGTCTGGCATATCAACACAAGTATCCAATGTTACTTCCTTTCCAAAAAAGTGGCCCTAGAATGGTCAAGTTAGCCACCTACTGGGCTTCTTCTTTGTGTCCTGCAGGGACCATAAACAGCAGGAGGATGGGAAGTGTCAATGGCTTAAAATGTAATTTTGTGAAACCCTGATACAGTACAAATACACTGAGGCAGTGGGATTGAAGTTCTGGACACACGTTTGTTTGTTTCAGGCAGAAGACGAAAAGCACCAACATCTTTTATTGTTGAAACATTTGTCTAAAGATTCGTAACCAAACATCGATGGCTTCAGAAGAAGTGACTGGCTTCTTTTCTGGAGTGCATCTAGGGTCTCAAGTTAACTTCCCCTGCCTGTTTATGTTTCCCAAATATCTGGAGTCTTTGAAAGTTCATTCATCAATCAACAATCAGCATTCACTAAACAATTTAATCCAAATTGTTTAGAATTCACCCAAATGATTATCACAAGATTGTATTGAGTTAGTTTAACGTGGAGGAGGGGAGTTGGGGATTCTGAGAAAACTTTAATTTACTCATTAGACTGTATTACCCAATATGACTAATCAATTTTCCCTCTTGAGTCTGAGCTCTTGGCATGTAAGATCTTGAAAGGCATTAGAGGGCAGGGTTCCCCTAAGTTAGAGTACAAAGCCCTAAGTAGGGGAGTTATACCCAATACCCAAGTGGAAAGTGGATTTAAATATTCTAATGTACAATGCTTTATTTACCTACCTATCTCTTGGTTGGTGACCTGGAATGCTGATCTTTCCCACAACCCTTAGGACTACAAAGTACTGCATAAAGAAGAAACATTCAACTCATACTCTGAATCTTTTTTTGATTAACTTCCAGGCCTACATTAAGTACAAATATTTAAATATTTAAAGGGCATTTTACAAACCGTAAAGTGCTATATAAATGCTAGTTGCTATTATTAGTATAATTTGGGATGACTTGGGGGAAGGCCATGGAAAACCACCCTTAAAGAAGCCTGACTGTCATGGAGGTGGAGCCAAGATGGCGGATTAAGGGCAGTCATCTAGTTGAACTCTTCCAACAATCCCCTCCAAATGATTTAAAAATAATGCTTCAAATCAAATTTTGGAGCGGCAGATCCAACAAAAGATCAGAGTAAGACATTTTTCTGGCCAGAGAAAACTTGGGAGGTTGGCAGAAGAAGTTTGTGACATTGGGGTGGGAGCACGGTGGCAACAGTTGTGGCGGCAGCAGCAGCTTCAGGAGCTCTCAGCTGAGAGAGGGTAAGGGGGTTGGATAAGTGGCCAGAAAGAGATTACAGGAGACTCACTGCTAGCACTGGGTAAAGCTGGCATTGACTGGCAACTCTACCGCCCATATGCAGTTCTGGGTCACAGTTCTAGGGTGGAGAGGAGTACTGGGGGTAGGGCACAAGGGAGCAGGGGACTTGGTCACAGTCCCAAAGCAAAGAGGAGTGCTAATGCTTGCAGCTGCAGGGGACCAGGATAAAGACCAGAGCTCAGACCAGGAAAGCAGTCACTATACATCTCCCAGGATCACTCCACCTTGGAAACACCAAAAACTTTCAGACATCCAGAACTAGCCTTGAAAATAGCAGCATGACAAAACTTTTTATTTCATGCAACTGAAACAATCTATTTTATTTTTTTGAAATGTTCTCTATATCTTGTCTGATTAAGAATTTTCTCCAAGCAATATCTGTGAATATATACATATATATGTATGTATTAATGCCATAACCTTTCTAGTTTGGTCATATGTCCATTTTGAGCTTATTGTGGTATATGGTGCAATATATTGCTCTAAGTCTTATTACTGTCAAATTGCTCTCTTTTTCCCAAGTAGTTTATATTCTTGTTTTGATGTATTAAGTTCAATTGTAGCTGATCCTTGTTTCTAGTCTATTCCATTGATCTACTCTCATATCAAATGAGATAACATATATGAAGTGCTTTGCAAACCTTTAAGTGCTATATAAATGTAAGCAAGAAAATAGCAGCATGAGGGTGGATTAGGGTAGGAGTGTATAGAATGCATGACATCTGGGGGTGGGGGGAGAGATGAGATGGGGAGAAAATTTGGAACTCAAAATCTTGTGGAAGCGAATGTTAAAAACCAAAAATAAATAAATTACATATATAAAAAAGAAAGAAAATAGCAGCATGAAAAAGAACGAAGCCTGGCATAGTGCTTCCTCACCCCTGGGTGAGCAGAACCCAACTTTAACATAAAGCTGAAAGTCAAGAAAGAGGCTGTAAAATGAGCAAACAACAACAACAAAGAATTTGACCAAAAAAGCTGCCCATAGCAGGTAAGACCAACACATAAACTCAGAAGAAGAAAAAAATGTGAAAAACAGATACCAACAAAGCTACAAAAAATGAATTTCTGGAAGAGTTAAAAAAAGAGATGAGTGGTAGAGGAAAAAATAGGAAAACAAATGAGAGTGATACAAGAAAATTGTGAAAAGAGAGTTAACAGCTTGGTAAAAGAGGGACAAAAATACTGAAGAAAATAACACCTTAAAAAAGCAGAAAGAGGCACAAAAACTCACTAAAGAAAATAATTCCTTAAAAATTAGAATTGGGGAAGTGGGAGCTAATGACTCCATGAGACATCAAAAAAAAAAAAGACAAAGTCAAAACAACTAAAAAATGGAAGAAAATATGAAATATCACATCAGAAAAACAAGTGACTTGGAAAATAGATCAAGGAGCAATAATTTAGGAATTATTTGACTAGCTAAAAGTCACAATCAAAGGAAAAGACTAGACATCATATTTCAAGAAAATTATGAAGGAAAATTACCCTGATATTCTA